GTTATCCTAGCTGTGTGCTGTATTTGCGTGCTGTTTTGCTAGCCAGAAGTACTCAAGGTTGTAGTTCTCTGCTTAAGTAAAACTGCTCTTGGTTCATGCTGTGTTAGTTTGATAAAACTCTGCCCTGGTTACCAAGTGATATGAAATAGGATTATTATTATTTTGTCCATGTTTCTATTATTATTTTGATTAATCCACATACTTGCTTGCTGTGATTCTGATTATGGTCTACAATTTTCCTGAGCTGGAGGTCTAGTGTTTTGTTTTTTTTAAATTTGGATGCGTGGAGGTGGGGGAGGACAACACAGACTGTAGCTGAAAGTCTATAGTGTAAATGTGACTACCCGAAAACCTTACACCAGTGCAGAAATTGTATATTTAGATTTATTAATACCCAGAAATAATCAACTCTTTCTTGGTGTCTTGTTTTCTCCTGTTCCCTTTCCTGTGCTGTTGGAAACACATTTAACCATATAAATCGGGGTCCAGTGAAGATATAGGACTGAATCAGGGAGTCCTACATTCTTTTTTAATATTAATGATAAAATTAAGGGCAGGGGCAAGATGGATGAATGTTATCTTTGAAGTGACTGGCTTGACTTTGAAGGAGCTGGGGATATCCATGGCCAAACAAATAAACAACAACAAATGATAAAATGTGCAGACTTGGATAAGTCATTCACTCTCAACCTTAATTCTTAATTCTGAACAATACAAGAGTAATAAACATCTGTTGTGAAGCCACAGTGAGATCATTTCCCAATGAAGATATCAGCTATATATGCAAAATTGTGTACCATGTTTGCATGAGATAAACCTTCACGTGTCTGTTTTTTGCTGGATGTACTTTTTAATGGGAACCTATGATGTGCCCTGGCTTTCTGTCATATACACACACAGCAATATAGATACAATCTCTTAGTCCCATAGAACAAAGGCTGTATACCATGGTGGGCTAAGTAGTGGGATAGAAATCAGGTGCCTCTCCAGATGTGTTACCATCGTGTAGTGTGAATTAAGGAAATATATTATACTTTATGCATTGTCTAAAAATGCAATGTACAAAACATATATACATATTTAAAATACCTTGCATTACATAGTGCCTTTTCTTCCAAATTACCATAGATGTGTGGCAGCTGGAGAGGGATAATACTCTGTTCTTATTATTTTGAGAACAGGGCATATATTTATACACACAGCTGTCTTTTATAAATAACATATGATTATAATAAGATCTTTGCTATATTAATCTAGTCTAGCATCTTCAATCCAATAGGGACTAACCAGACATTGTGAAAACCCACAAAGCCAGTTTGAAAACAATCTCTCCCTCTTGCATCTCTCCTCCAAATAACATTCCAACTTGGGAGCAAATATATTAGTTTAGAGAGTTTGTGCTCACATTAGTATGTATTAGAGTAGATAAATATGATTCATATATGCTGTATAACAGAGGGAACAAGAGACCAAACTAGCATTGAGAAATTTTTTGAATAGAAATGGACTTAACTTTGAGGTTTGCTGTTTTCAAGCCCTTTCTGACTTATGGTGACCCTAAGCTTTCTGAGACTGAAAGTGTGTGACTTGCTTGAAATAACATAGTGCATTTCCATGGCTAAGCAGAAACTGAACCCTGCTTCTCAGAATCGCAGTCCAGTGCTCAAACCGCTACACCACACTGGCTGTATCTGAGAAATCACATGTGATATCATATATAAAAGGGGCAATAAGAAAGCATGCCTTTATTGATCAATTATGAGCTTTCATTGATTACACTATCACATTTATGCTGTTTTTGTATCGAATACCCCAATACATCATATGTGCAGTGATCAATATATACATGACCAATACAACAATGGTTGCTCCTTCATTACAGGTCCCACTAGGTCTGGGAATGACAGTTTTAAAAGAGTGCTTAAAAGGCTTTGTGCTACATATTTGTTTCCTCCCCTGGGATTTCACTGAGCTTGAATCTGAAGCCCAAGAGCCTTTTAAAATATAATTAGCAAGAAACATGCATATTAAGGGAGAGCTGTGAGGCTATGTGAACTGCCAAACATCTGTATTCCCAGGAGATGCCAAAGAAATGGACAAACTGGTGACAAAGCAAAAGGAATGTTTTCTTCTTGGCCTGAAAATGCCACAGCTGTTGAGGAAACCCGTCCTCTTCCTGCAAGCAATGTATACTTATTTTTAGAACTGCCTTGAAGGCTCACTGTGATATGATTTTTAAAACGGTCTTTGTCCAGGCGTATACAGATAAGAACTTTTAAAGTTATTTTCAATTATAATCTTGGAACATTCACATCTTTTGGGAAGGGATTGTACTGGGATTGGGGAGAAAAAATTGGTTTAGGTTCTCTGCCCTGAGTGTTGTGGAGGTTGGAGGCAGTGCAATTTGGCAAGCTTGAGAGAAGTGTGCAGATCAATACCAAGGACAAAATATTTACATTAAATGGTAGTATATTTGATATGCCCTGGTGGCACAGCGAGTTAAACCATGGAGCTGCTGAACTTGCTGACCGAACAACTGAAGGTTCAAATCAAGGGAGCGGGGTGAGCTCCCGCTGTTGGCTCCAGCTTCTGCCAACCTAGCAGTTTGAAAACATGCAAATGTGAGTACATCAACAGGTAACACCTTGGAGGGAAGGTAAAGGCCACATGACCTTGGAGGTGTCTACGGACAACCCCGGCTCTTCCGGCTTAGAAATGGAGGTGAGCAAAACACCCCAGAGTCGGATATGACTAGACTTAATATCAGGGGAAACCTTCTCCTTTACCTTATATTTGATAGTTTCAACAATAAGTGGTATTGCTATTTTCCTCAGAGCTGCTGAACTTTTGTTCTTGCACAGTTTCAGAAACTTTCAGCTGATCAAGTTTAGAGAGTTTCAAAGAGCAGCATGTTTTCAGCACAGTGTGATATAGTGATTTGAGCATTGAACTATGACTCTGGAGACCAGGGATCAAATCCATACTCAGCTGTAGAAGTCCACAGGGTGGCCTGGGGCAAATCACACTCTCTCAGCCCCAGAGGAAGGCAATGGCAAACCTCATCTGAAAAAATCTTGCCAAGAAACACCTGTGATAGGTTCATCTTAGGGTCACCATAGGTCAACATGACATAAAGGTCAACATCAAACCATTAGGCAGAGTAAGACAGCTGCTTCAAGCAATGGAAACTGAGAGTTTCCAGCAAGCTATTGAAAGAAAGAAGGTGATATGTATAAAGACATGCAGATGGCAATACGATCAATCCCACCATCTGACACCAAATTATAAAGGCACGTCGTGTGGCCAAACAATATACCTGGACAGGGGGCAAACAGATCCCACCACTGTCCCTCCAATATAAAGAAGACTTCACTGGCACATATATAACGTTTGAGGGGATGTCTCTCTATTTAAACTTTCGCTGCCACCATAAGTATAAGTACAGGAACGCTCTAGCTATTTAAAGATATTAAAATTACTTCTAGGACCACCAAACACTGTGTCTTTTAAAAGGGCTTCTTTGAAGGAAAACAGGTGAGGTTGATTTAAAAGGAAAATGGACTAAATCCACAAATGTACACTTGACTCAGGCTGTTTTAGGTTTTAAAAATAATCAAGTAAAGTTTATTGATATAGTACAGAAGAGAATGTAAATGCTGTCTAATAAGCTTGGCTGTTACAGATAAAATGTTCTGGTTCTTGAAAGCGTAACGGTTGCATGAGAATGGTTCTTTCTTTGTTACAAATATAAAACCCAGCTATTTTTCCCTAAATAGCTGTACCCAGTTTGCCACAGCTTAATTCGCTGGCAAACTTCAGGCAAACTGCCTATTCTTAACATGAACTCCTAAAAGCTTCTGTAATCCTGCTCTAACTCTAACATCAACAGACTGACTGACTAAAAAAGCTTCTTTCTTTCCCTCCAAACAGTCTAACTCCGCCCCCCTTTAATAAACCAATCCTGGCTGCTCTAAGGCTGGCTCAGGCCTAGGCCACTCCCCCTCTCTGAAATGGAGCTTTCCCTAAACTAAAATGGCTCCTGCTGCCCTCTGCCAGGCCTTCTAAGGCTGAAACTAACTAGCCTGCCTCTCCTAGGCCCTGCCACCCAGGCTGGCAAGGTAAGGGATCTTCACAATATGAAACCTGCCCTGCTTTCTCTACCTTAGCCCTCTGCTTTCAGACGTGGAGGAGGATATTCTCATAAGAACAAATTTCCAATTCAGTTATCTTTTGTGCGTGGAGTAAGAGGTGATGCTTTCTTGCTCTGATCCTTAGGTAACAAACTATGTTGGGACTGCATCATTAAATTTTATAATACTGTTTTCATTAGATAAAAGTATTTCGACATATATTTCCCTTTTGCCATATATGAGAATAATAATAAGCTCCCATGGGGTTTCCAGGTTTTTATTTGTATTTCTATATACCAGAGATTGTCATTCTTTCCTTGCTTTCGCTTATCTTATATTTTCTAAACATGGCTGCAGCCAGATACGTTTCATGGTTGGAACATTGGCCTGGAATTTGAAAGATTGATATTAACCATAAAGCTGTTTCTGTGACTTTGGTGGAATAAATATGTAGTCATCAAAAATAAAATCAGTGTCAATTTCTTGCTTGGTTATTTCTTATTAGTGGCTTTGGCTTAATATTGCAGATGTATCATATTGGGAATTCGTAGGTTAACAAGCAATGAGAGTAAAATGTGTATGTAAGTAGATCTGCAAAATACTTTTATCCCTCCTAATTCATTATACTCTGGGATTTCAGTCTAGACCACTGCTTTGCCAATGTTTTTTTTGCAGACTTATGAAATCGGAATGTAGAGAGAAAGGCAGAAAGTGAGCCAAACGAATGGAGAGTGGGTCAGATGGTTTATACAGATGCTATAGTTTGTTTTTCATTAATCTGGATTTTGTTCTCTGTTCCAAACATCTGAACATATTATGATGGGCATTGTAAAAGAATGGATTTAACATTTTTGTCTTTTTATTTTTCAGGAGTTATCATTCATTTGTATACTTTAATTTTTTTGCCTTTGGAAAATATATTTCTGAAGTCATTTTGTTTCACATTTATGTGGCCTTGGAAAGCATCCTTGTCCTTGCCACCCTGGCTGGGTCCAGCCCAGAATGGCTTTGTGCCTTAAACAAGTTTTTAACAAAGACAAAACATTTCGACCTCGGAAGAAATTTGAGCCAGGTACCCAGCGGTTTGAGCTGTACAAGAAAGCCCAGGCCTCTCTCAAGTCAGGACTAGACTTGAAGGCTGTTGTCCAGCTGCCCCCAGGGGAGAACATCAATGACTGGATCGCAGTGCATCTTGTGGACTTTTTTAACCGGATAAATCTCATCTATGGGACTATGTCAGAGTTCTGCACTGAGAAGACCTGTCCCATCATGTCAGGTGGCCTCCGGTATGAGTACCGGTGGCAGGATGACTACAGATTCAAGAGGCCAACCAAGCTCTCTGCCCCCCAGTATATGTGCATGCTGATGGACTGGATAGAGACACTGATTAATAATGAGGATATCTTTCCTACCAGGATAGGTAAGCTGGCTCCAGTTGCTATACAACAATCTGCCCTCTATCAGGCCAGATTATTTGGTGATCTAACCTGAAGTGTTTACTCTGACTAATACAGTATGACCCCCATATCTGTGCAGGATTCATTCCTGAACTTACAATGGAAAGGTGAACCTACAGATAATAGCTAATCCTATTGAAATGAATAATATCCAGTGAAATGTCTTACAGAATTGCACTAGAGTACACAGCAAACAAGATCACTATGCTGACTGTTGCATTGGATCACACTTTGGACACTTTCCAAGTGTCTAGGACTCTGCCATGTATCAGCGAATAATGCATGCAGATCTGAGTAGGCTGGCCTTTTGCAGCTAACAGATGGCCAGCATTTAAACATAATCAGTGTTGATTGTGTTTAAGTGCAGGCCAAGGTCCTTAGGCACTTCATTATTATTAGAAACACAACAAGATTAGTACACAGCAAACAAGATCTCTGTGCTGGATTTTGTATTGGATCACATGTCAGATACTTCTCATGTGCCTAAGGCTATGTGATATATAGGCAAATAATGTGTGCAGATCTGAGTAGGATGGCCTTTTGCAGCTGACAGATGGTAATTTTGTCAGTGCTGATTGTTTTCAAATGCTGGTCAGGGTTTTTAAGGACTGCACCCAGTGTGCCGATCACCACTGGGACCACCTTTACTGGCTTGTGCCAGAGTCTTTGAAGTTAGATCTTTAAATCCTTGTATCATGTAAGCTTTACCAGTTGCTTCTTGTCAATTCTGCTGTCACCTGGGATTTCTGTACTGATGATCCATAGTTTATTTTTCCCTGACAATCGTATTGTGTTCCAAAACTCTGTCTGTCTGAATTCGGAAGTCCCAGAGTAGTCTGATGTGTTCATTTTTTGTAACTTTTTTCACGCTTGTCATCCCACCAGGTTTTTTTTGTTACAGGCAGATAGTATTTGTGTCACAAGTTCCAATGGATCATCTGAGCAATGCTATTATGCCTCAGCCTGTAGTTCAACTGTGTGATCTTGAAGCAGCTGAGTATGTAATCTATTGTTTTGTCTGCTTCCTTGCAGAGGCCTCCTCCTCCTCCTCCTTTTTCTTTAGCTTTCACTGCCAATGAATGCTGGTGTCTCAGAAAATTACAACGTACAGGATTCCATAGAATTGAACCAAGGCAGATAAAATGGTGTCAAATTACATTAATTCTTCCATGGAAATGTTCCCCCAAGAAAATGCCTAAGGAGAACACCTCTCTAGCATTTCTAGGTCCTCCAGTGTATAAACTTTATCAACTTCTTTTGCATACTAGCAACATACCATAGATTCACACTGAAGAACATATTTTATCAGATACATATAGGAAAAACCATGAGAACTGGTTCCATGGTTACAGGTGTCATACTATGTGCCTTATTTTAGGTAGCATTTAATATTAGAAGAAAGAATGCTACTAACAGAGATAGGCTACTCGGGCTGGCTGCCAATAAGGAAAATTCCGATAAAAAGATAGATTTGAAAAAGCTGCAGAAAAACCAGTGAGTTTGATTCATTCATTACAAATGCCGGCTGCCACCTGAAATACACTTCCTTTGAAGTAAGGCCCACTGAACACAATGGAATTTGCTTCTATGTAAACTCATGCTGGATTGTTTTGCTGGCCAACTATTACTGGTGTTTTGGGATGTTGGGTTTTGTTTGTTTGTTTTTGTTTAGTGTGTTTCCTTTCTATTCAAAAGACTTCCTCAAAGTGTTTCAGGTTCAGGTGGCTGGTGTGTAAAAATGGATTATTGGGTTTCCCCCCCTATTGTAAAGGAACAACTACTTTGACGCAGCATGTTTCTACTTGTTTTCACAGCTGGCCCACTTCAGAAATGCTTGCTCCTGTCATCTTTCCTCTCCATCTCTTGTCAGAATTAATACTTTGTAAGAGTTTGCAGCTGTTTCTGTGCCATTCCCATTAAGTCCTAGTTTACACACACACATACAGATATTTATAGAACTAAGCAGTTAATGACAGCCATATCTTGTAGTATGTTAAGTTTCATTGTATGAGTTCGATTGCTTTGAATTATTATTCTTTTCTTACAATTACTTCACTATGATTAATAGCAAGGAATCCCACTAGTAAGCCTCATTGTAACTCATTAGAAAAGTATTAGCTGTGAATGAAAACAAAAGACCCTTTAACATTATATTCTATAACTTATTTGTTCTTACTGCTTCTCATTACAGTGTATGAATATACCACTTATCATTACTTCCATGCCGGTTTAAGTGGTGCTTTCAAAACATCTGTCTCTGAGAAAGGGGCTAGCAGTTTTCACAAATGAACCCCAAACAGTGCCAGGCAGTTGCCTTACTCCCTGAGCTGAACAATGGCTGTCAAATCGATAGACAATCGTTGCTGTCAAGGAGTGGTATGAAAGAAGCATTGTTGCCCGAATTCACCCAATTATCTTTATTTTCCAATTTTTCCAGATATTTATGATATTTTAAAACAACTCCTAATCAAAATCATTTTGACAAGTGAAACAACAGGCCCTTCCACACAGCCCTATATCCCAGAATATCAAGGCAGAAAATCCCACAATATCTGCTTTGAACTGGGATATCTGAGTTCACACTGCCATATATTCCAGTTCAAAGCAGATATTGTGGGATTTTCTGCCTTGATATTCTGGGATATAGGGCTGTGTGGAAGGGCCCAATGTCATACCACCTTAGGCGCTTTGAGTCCCCTTTGGGGAGATAAAGTGGGCTATAAATATAATAAATATAATAAACATGATAATAATGTTAATAATATTAATGCAATTTTCAATTATCTTCCCATAGAATCTAGACTGGCACAATCCTTGCTATTTTTCTACAGCAATTGAAGACATTTTTGTATTAGAAAGGATTTGAAGACTGCTTGTTAAAGGGGAAAGTGTTTGTTAATCTGTGGGATTTGCTGTTTTTAAAAGGTTTAATTTTGTGTGCTGTGAGTTTTTAACTATATTTCTTTTAACTGTTGTGAGCTGCCCTGATTCCTGAACTGGGAAAAAGGCAGGATATACTGGCTGAAATTCTAGTTCAGCTTTTTTAAAAACATATTTTATTATGCTATAAACACAAATCAACAAGCCGTATTCCAAATGTTACAAGCATAAATCCTGAATAATTCAACAAATATTAATGACATTATGCTAATTTACACTGGTATAGATTATATTTTTCCCACCCTCCCTCCCTCCTCAACCACAGTATATTTCTGCTAATCTTGCAGATCCAGCCACTGGTAAAGTTTTTGTATTTTTTTCTTTTGATGTGATCGTTGGCTCCTCCATTTTTTACCCAGTTGAAGTAGACCTTCCATTTATTAGTAGTGACCTATTGTTTGTCTGTTCTTGTTGCTTGCTTAATCATAATTCCCGTAATGTCTAACAGTACTTGATCATACATATAATCATTCCAATTGCTTAACGTCCATTTCGATTTGTCTTTCCATTTTCTAGAGATCACCTCATATGCTGCTTATTGTTACTTTAAATAACTCTTGGCAATTGATTTTTATACTTGGATGTTCCAACACTCTCCATAATAGCAAATCATTATTAATTTTAATTTTTATCTGGAATATCTCCTGAATTTTTCCTTGTATATTTTGCCAGAATTTTTTTTTATTTCAGAACACTCCTGCCACATATGTGAATAAGTACCTTTTTCTTTATTACAATGCCAACACTTTGAATTCTTTCCTTTTTCCATATAGGCCAGTTTTTCAGGAGTTCTATACCATCTTAATATCATCTTTTTTTCTAATTTGTTATATTTTTCTGTTTTTATTTTATTTGTGTTGCTAATTATTTCCTCTATTTCTTGTGTCCTTAATGATTTAACCCCATTTCATTTGTTGCGTATTACTCTAATCATAAACTCTTTATCTTCTACCATTAATTTAAATCTAGATCAGCTTCTTAGGCCCCTTCTACACTGCCATATAAAATCCTGCTTTGAACTGGACTATATAGCAGTGTAGACTCATATAATCCAGTTCAAAGCAGATAATATTTGCTTTGATAATCTGGATTATATGGCAGTGTAGAAGGGGCCCTAGGTTATCTTCTTATCCCAGATTATCTGGCCATGTAGATTCACATAAACCAGTTCAAAGAAAATAAGCTGGGATCAGATCCTGGGATATAGGGCAGTGCAGATCCAGCCAACGTGTATTAAAAGTGCATCTACACTGCATCAAAGGGAGTATAGTGTCTAGATCCAGGGAAGTCATGCTACCCCTCTATTCTGCCTTGGTTAGACCACACCTGGAATATTGTGTCCAATTCTGGGCACCACAATTGAAGAGAGATATTGAGAAGCTGGAATGTGTCCAGAGGAGGGCGACTAAAATGATCAAGGGTCTGGAGAACAAGCCCTATGAGGAGCGGCTTAAGGAGCTGGGCATGTTTAGCCTGAAGAAGAGAAGGCTGAGAGAGATATGATAGCCATGTAAATATGTGAGAGGAAGTCATAGGGAGGAGGAGCAAGCTTGTTTTCTGCTGCCCTGGAGACTAGAATGCAGAACAACGAAGTACAGGACAGAAAGGAGATTCCATCTGAACATTAGGAAGAACTTCCTGACTGTGAGAACTGTTCAGCAGTGGAACTCTCTGCCTAGTGGGTGGAGGCTCCTTCTTTGGAGCTTTTAAACAGAGGCTGGATGGCCATCTGTCGTGTTTGCTTGCAGGCATGTAGCTGGGGGGGGGCTTCACCCCCCCCCCGAAATTCTCATGGTGGTTCACAAAAAGGCCTTTGGTGCATTATTTAAACTGTTATGTTTATTCATATCATGATCTGATCACCATACTCAATATATCCCATATGCATGGGGGTATTGGGGTAATGATACAAAAGGTTTGCTAGGCTAGACCCTCTTTCACTCAGACTCAGCCCCCCCGAAACTCAGGCCCCCCCGAACCCCCCTGAAAAACACTCAGCCCCCCCTCCCCCCGAATTGAAATT